GTTACCAAAAGTTTCGCTACATTTTTTTACAGTTCAAAAAAACAGATGATGCTCAATTTTCCACTTATAAAAATTCAACCTGCTTCCAAAATTTGTGGAGGATTACAAAGTAAAGACCTTGAACCATTATAGCCCTCTCCCATCAAGATAAACAATAACTAGAATGACTAAACCCTCATTTTAATTTTAAAGAAAAATGATTGTCAAAAAGCGGTAATAAGTGGAAAAAAAAGTTCTCAATGGCACGCAATTAAAGCACCTTTATGAAAAATAACATTGAAGCAAGAAATTCGAGGCTAGAGATTTCGATGTCATTTTAATTATTAACGTCTCATACGCAAACAAGAATGAACCATCCTATACAATTACCTGATTTGCGGTGTCGTGTATCAAGGCATGAGTGTCGTTTGAACTAAAATATAAAAATGCAAAGCTGAACGATTCAGAACAGTCACTATATGCAGACAACTCACTTTAAGATATGTATCTATAATTAGTTTACCTGAAGCCATTTGTTTTCGGTTTCGCAAGACTGTTCCTCTGTATTATTTCTTGTAATTGACTTCTTAAATCATTATCAAAAGTTGCCATCATTGCCGTAAAATCACTTGCATTTACAGAAAACATGTCACACAGCACCTTTTCACTGATCTATAATGCAGTAATTTTCTTTTCAGTAGAAACTTTGACTTTAAACAGCTAGGTTTCTCTTTTCTCATAAAACTTACCATATGTTTCTCTTATTAACTCTGAGAAATTGATTCCATTCTTAATATCAGTGTACTTTTCACTGGAAATATCAAAAATATGTTAAATATAAAAATTACATCTCTTAGGATAGCGTTTTTAGGGTCGTCTAACCACTGAAATATTTTTAATATCGCACTGCGAACTTCACTATTCTTAAAAGACAATGCCCTGTCCACACCGCCCATAACTTCATGCAAATATTTCAGCAGTCCATGCTTAATCTGAAAAATTAAGTAATTTGTTCAATTTAGCGAACAAAAAAGAAAGACGTCAAAACACAGGTGAGAATAAATACCTTTAAATTCACATTGTTACGCACAGGATCTTGAATAAACCTAAACACAGCATGAAGCTGCTGCTCTGGGTCAAAGCATTGTCGCACAGTATCAAGCATTACCCGGTACCTATCTTGGTTACTGGCAAGAACATCATTGGCATGTTTCGTTAGCAGCCTCGGTATAAGCAAATTAAGCCAATCATTGAGTTCATCATGATAAAGCTGCACTAGTTTTATCAGCAAGTCAGATACTGCTTGTAGAAGCTAAATGAAAAGCTACCTTCAAAAAAAAAAAAAAAAAAAAAAAAAAAAAAAAA